CAACATCATTGACAGAATAGGAGACAATATCAGAAAAGGCATTTTCATATGCCTTTCAAAAAACCCTAGCCTTTCAAAAGCCTTTTCACCGAATAATTCTGTAAAAACCCTAGCATTTCAAAAGCATTTTCACCAAATAATTCTGTAAAAACCCTAGCCTTTCAAAAGCCTTACAAATCGCAAGGATGGGGGGCGACCGAAAGGGAAAATACCGACCAGAGCAAATCGGAAGGGGTGCGATAGAACCTGTAATTCGTTGTCAGAGAAGAGGTAACCGACGAGAAGCCCCTGAAGCTACTAGACGACCCCAGGTCTGCAACATCAGAAAAGGAGCATGGCTGTGAGTGCAATCGTTGGCCGGGGATAGCATCTCTTACCACCGCTTCGTAAGAGTTCTTCGCCTGCGATGTCTCCTGGCCGCTTCCTTCCGCCGGCGGCATCGCTGCCGCACCGGCTTCAGGCGGACCGAAGAGTAGCGTGGATATCCTAGAGAGAAGACAGAGCGTCTCTCTCTAAACATGTGTGATTCTAAATACGGACCTAAGAATGTGTCACTATTCTATAATAATAATAATATGTCAAAAACAATGACACATATATGTCATAAATACTATAGTGATGTTATAGTGTCACTAAACAAATGTCAGTGTAAGCCAGTTTTTTAGTAGTGATATGGTAACTCAGGGTCTTAATGGCCATGTCTCACCCCCCACAATTCCTCGCGTTAATGCTGTGGTGCGCCTTTATGCCATGCGCGTGCTTGGTATTCTTGAGTGCTCTAGAAGCATTGTCCATGCTTCATGGAGGCGGCCCCACCTCACACTCATATATGTGATCTCATCAAGTGTGTCTTGCACTTGACACACCAACCATAAGACTATCAAAATCATTAAGAGCCTTAGCTCATCCTCTCAAAGAATGCAGTCTAGCCTCACCCTAGAAATGAACATTTAAAATAGGCTAGCAGAACAAATAGAAGACTTGTTATTGTCCATATGAACTTACTTCATGGGATCTCCAATCACACATGTTGGGTTACCATCCCTATTTGTTATCAAGTGACAGTCCATTTCCCTCGATGTATAAAATACAATATCCTAGGATTTCGGTCAAAGGAGACTATTAACTCCACTCATCATAGTTATATGACACCTATATATTTCATATATACTTCGTATATTTCATATGGTATTGTTGTATACGTCTTTACAAAAATATCATCTAAAAATTATATCATTGTATCACTATAATACAATGGCTTAGCTCACCAAATAAACATTTTGTGTTTTCACAATTTTACTCAATCTTTCGACATTAAGCCGGGTTTCACATAGTTTGTTATTTTTAACAAACTCACAATTTTATTATTCATAATGAACATTAAAATTTACTTCACCAATTTGAAATTCAAAATCACTTGTGTGATATTCAACTCATCATTACATCTTTACCTTCTCAAAAGGTAAAGGAACACAGCTAAACATTACCCCCACATTTTGAATATATAGAGTATACCATTTAACTCACTAAGCATTGAGATAAGGATTAAAGTATAATAGCAATAAAATAGCAACGTAACGCATGTAACTAAAACTTTCCAAGGCATGACAATAATTTAGAAACATTAATCACATAACATCTACTCTTACAATAACCTTTGCCCACAAAAAAAACATCATATTTGGTCATGACAATTTTGTCACAATCAAAGGATATATTTTGATCTCAATTTTTCTTTTCCAAGAAAGAAATGAAAACTAAATTATTCCAAATCTTGGACACATGAAACACGTCATTTAGCGATAAAGTTTACCCCGATGTGAGCTTAATAATAACATTTCTTATACCATGCACCTTAGCGGTTTTCAATTTCGCTAGATACACAAGGTATTCGCCATTTCCTATGGTAGTATAGGACGATAAATAACTTTTGTTTTTACAAATGTGTTTGGTAGCCCCGGAGTCTACCATTTGCTCATTCACATCATTAATTTTACAACTTTGAGAAACAACCGCAACAATATATCATCACTATTAATCAATTGTAAACTTGATTTTAGTGGGTTGTTGTTTCTCATAATTGTCTTTTTATCACAAAAAAATGACTTGTATTTTCCAAATTGGGATTAAAATAAGGTTAAAATGATATTCCCTCGAGGAGTTAGTTGACGAGGTCTTTTTTGAAGATATGGAAAGGTACTTAATGCATGAAAAAGATCTAAAGTTAAATGATGTTGTCATCAAATATGCATTCACCAAAGGTAAGACACTCATTTTGGCTGTCAAACCTTTTAAGTTTGTGCATGCGAATGTGATTAGAGTGGATACTGAGCTTCGACTTACGGACAATTTAGATGGGAGAGGCCTTACTTTTTTGGCCAAATGTCTCGAGGCGATGCCGGGAGTTACCAGAAACAAAGGGGAGATTTGTTTTGACCCAAAGTTCACTATTCCTTTCCGTGTTTTTTTTGGACTTTAAATTAGGGATACCCAATTTTCTGTTGTGATAGCTTGATTTTTTCTTTGAACCTTTTGTTGGTTTTGGAGTCATAGTGTTGACTTGGGTGATAGGTAAGCTTGATTTTGTGGTATCCTATGTACTGGGATATGCACTTTTTTTGTAACATTAACTTGTTATTTTCTTGGGTGTTAATATGTACTTACATTTCATCCAAAAAAAAATTTCCAAATAGGTTTGCCACACAGTTTAAGATAGTGGGTATTGTGTGGTGAAGAGTTGTGCAGAGGAGAGAAAAATGTGTAAGAAATGTTTTGAACCACAAATTCTTTACTAAAAAGGGAAAGTGAAACTTTTAATTGGAACGGACGAAAAAGGAAAGTTGGAAGTTTATTTAGGAACGGAGGGAGTATCCGAGAATCCACAGGACACATACACAAGTACGCAACAATATCAAGCCACGATAATACTCCGTATGAAATACTACATAGTTATTATAGCTAGTAAAATTAAGAGGTACCATATTTCGCCATTTGGATGCAGGGCCGGCTTGACACATTACGAGACCTAGTGCGACTCACACAAATGAGGTCTTTTATTAAATAAAATGCATAGATCTAATGTGTAGACGTATAGTTTGCTTTTATTTAGAGTTGGACCGTTCGGTGTATAAAGGTGTTTCAAACATGCAAATGGGATTCTATTAATAATTTAAACAATTACTTTATAGAGTACTCTTCCGGTCAGAAATTCCTGACCAGAACCGCCATCCGGATGGCGGCGTTTGGGGCCCTTCCCGGTGAAATGTTTTGATGAAATGTTTATGACCTGTTCTTCATGAAGTCTAGGTTATCCACAAAAAAGTTCAGCTAAAAATTCAATCAGGAAGGCCGTCGTATGATTTTTGAAAGATAACTGCGCCGGAATATACATATAAAACGCAGTTAACTTCCAAAAATTATTTGACGACCTTCCCGATTGAATATTTATCTGAATTTCTTCTTGGACAAACTAGATTTTATGAAAAATATGTCATAAAAATTTCATCAAAATAATCAACCGAGAAGATGCTGAAACGCCACCGTTCGAACAACGGTTCTGGTCCGGAGTTTTGGACCTGAATATTTCTCTACTTTATATACATATACTATTTAAATTTTTAAAAAATGGGCATTCTATTTTTAAATTTTTCTATGGCCCTGTTTGTATATTCGCACTACAAGAAAATACAAAATTGGCACGGATTTGACACAAAATTGTCGATATTTTCGTGCGAAATAGTTCGAGCCCTACTTTTTTGACACGAATTTGGTATATCCTTGCCAAAATCGTTGCCAATTTGAATAAGCAGACCCAAACACTCCCTTAGTGATGATTGATTTTATTTTCGAGTTTTGTCATGTTTTTCCTAACCCTTGTTCTTTTGAGATTGAAAAGATGGATCAAGGCTAAAATATAAGGTGGTCATTACATGCGGCTTTTTTCCTATACTTTGATTTTGTCGATCGATAAAAAGACCTTTCGGAGGATAAGCTTGTTCAGAATTTATGGGGTCTCTCTGGATGTTGGCCGAATCAGTATTGGGTGGAGAAGTTTGGTGATATAGTTCCATATGCGTCTCATAACTTAGAGTAGAGATATAAGTCTATCAATTGATTGGACATTTAAGTTTGTTATTTGCCTCCTCCATATTTTCTTTGTTCTAGAATATGCATGCAAGAGAAGAGCACTTTTAATAACCCCTTTGATCTGGGTGCTCGCCGGTCTTCATTCGTCGCTGGTCTGCAAGTCGCTGAAGCAGGAGGCTGGCAAGAGGCTTTCTCGCGTAGAAGGAACGTCAATCGCTGGAGCACTGGATTTTGCTAAATTGTTGGGCGTGTGGACACTGTTGCTGTGCACAGTAGCTGAGGAGTAGCTTTGACGCGTAGATTGGACTTTGACGCTATTGCTGGACGCGGAGACCAATACCGCAGGAGCTAAAGCTGGGCTGCAGTTTTTTGATCTGAGGCTAATTGAGCTGCTGGACTTGGAGCAAAGAAAAGAATTGGTCAACTGCTCGGTCAACTCAGTCAAAGCTCAGTTAACGTTGGTCAAAGACAGTCATTAGTCCGAAAATCCCAATTTTAATTGGGTGGGTAAGGTCGAAACGCCTCTCCCAGGGTTTCGCTCTAGTATATTGACTTGAAACCACTAGTACAAACTATAGGTATTGTGGCACATGAAAAATGTCACAAAACACTACATAAATGTCACAAAAAATAAAATGTAGCATTTTTAACTATGCCGCATCCGAGTGGTGTTGCAATAGATCTTTTGTAGCATTTTTTTGTAACATTTTCTTATGCTGCAACTACTATTGCCTATTGTAGCATTTCTCTAGCTATATTCTATTGTAACATTTTATTTTATCTTCTTCACACTAATATCTTTTGTAGCACTTTTAATTACCTTATTGTTGCATTTATATATCTTATTCAGCATTCTTTTAGTTATAGGTAATCTTTTTTGCCTATTTTCCAAACAAAATTATATATTGTTTGGAACATAGTAATTACACATGTGCTATTATACTTCACAAACCAAATATCATTACAATATCAATAGAATCTTACAATAATAGGAAGAAAAAATATTCAAAGGTGGGAAAAGTAAAGAACGAATCTTGACCAAACAAGATATTAGACAAATCAAGGTATTACAAAAACCACTTTGTCCAGTTAAAGTCTAATACCAAGTGGTTCAGCAAAATAACATCACTATATATATATATATATATCCATCCTTGCACATGTATGGATATATATATATATATATATATATATATATATATATATATATATATATATATATCCATCCTTGCACATGTATGTCAACTTCTTCTGGAATCAGTTTGATGCATCCTGCATCATATTAAATCAAGAAGATGGATAAATTAATATTAAATGCAATTGTTCTGCTTTAAAGAAACAAGAGACACATAAATGAACACTATATACCTTGAGATTGGCAGATGCTAATATTGTTTGAGGAACCAAGCTTAATCCTGGAATAGTACTTTGCAACTGTTTTAACACAAATGTTAGTACATTTTCTGACATACGTGCTTTTTCAACCTCAAACTCTTCAGCCATTTTTGCTCTTTCAATTGCAAGTTTTTCATCCATTTCCTTTTGCATTTCTTCCCTCAAAGTTTGTAATGCATTATTTGGGATGCTGTGTGATTTTTCACCTTTCTTTTCCACAATATCTTTATTGGTGACACCTCTTCCATATAGCCGAACACGTCCACTGTATTCCTTAGGCATTACTTTTGCAAATGCATCTTCAGAATTGGTCTCATCATTTCCTTGTGTAGATTCAATATCTTTCATTGCTTGCTATTTTGAATGCATAATAAAAAAACAAGTTTAATCACTCACATTTATCAACTGTTAAAATATAATTAACAAAAACATTTTCAAGGAATATTTTCTAATAAACTTACAAGTTTTACACTCGTTTCATCAAATGAAGTCTTGTAGGTTCGACCATCTTTTCTCTTACGTGTCTCTTCATACATTTGAACTTCTGTGGGTATCTTGTTGTTTTCACTTTGAGTTGTCTGAATACCTTATGTTACTTCATTTGAAAAATGGTAATGAAGATGGATAATCAAATTATATAAAAAAACCTTACCAACTGGTGTTTCAATCTCGCAAATGAAACACGTCCAGTAGTTGGCATGTCTGTTTGTTTTGATCGACTACACTTATTTCGAAGGCACCGGTTCTTCACAAACATGTCAGCATAATGATAACAGGGTTTTAGTAATTAAATTAAATAAAAATAATTAAATGAAAATCACTTAAAGATACCTTTGATTGAGGAGTGTTCCAAAAACGAATAAGATCTCTAAACTGCTCTTCAGTGATACCGTCTTTTGGGCGTTGAATCCATCTCTCTGAGTTAGATTCATATTTGTCAAAATGTTCTTCCTTCACACGACTTTTGTATGTCCTCCAGTTATCATTTATTGATCTTATAACCCATTTTTTTCCTACTGGTGGAATAATGTACTTTGACTGCAATAAAGGTTATATGATTAATACATATAATACAGTCATTACATTTAGTCAACCGAAGGATAATGCTATCTTACGTTAACATATTGCCACATTCTCTCTTTGTTTGGCACTTTTGGCCAACTGACATAGTTCAGAGGTGCTAGTGATGCACTATGAGCTATGGTTCCAAGAAATTGAGAAAACTCAGAGCATGTAGCCTCATCCGGTCCAATTGGTTGGTTATACTCATTGAGAGTAATGACTTTGCGCTCATCTGGTTTTCGTATATGGACCTTGTGTAACATTGTCTTCCCCCTATGCTTCTTTTTTAGGCCTTTAAAATAACAAAAAAAAAATGAGAAATCGTGAGTGCTTAAGTCAATTTGTATAGGTTGACTTACTTGTATCTTTTGTAGTACTCTCATCATCTCCACTTTGAATTGGATCAACTTCATTTTCATTTTCTATCATTGCCCAGTTTGTACTAGAGTGGACTTCTTTTGTAGCCTTTAAAAAAAGAATAACAATTTGAAAGATATATATTTCATGCAATATTAATTTACACTACTGTAATTTACCACATTCACATGTCTCTTGCGGCTGAGTTGCACATCTTCAAAATCGTCAATAACCATATTTGTTTTTTCCACAAAAGTAGACATAGGCTGGCTTGACATCAGAGGTTCCATCCTCTATATGGATTTTAAAAATCATAAAGTATATACACATCATATACAAAACAAAGTTAAATAAGTTGAGAATTCTTGAAACACAGTACTATATGCATATCTTTACTCATGCCAAAACTATCTATTATCAAAAGTATAGACATATTGTTTTACCTTCTTTTTTTAGAACAATCATTTATTCTTTCTCGATCTGCAAAATAACATCAAACTTGATTTTTAGAACTGAAAGTCTTCTAATAACACACTTGTTAAAATTCTATCAAAAAATAGTATAATAAAGTAACCAACCTGGCCTCCCACTTTTATTGATTGGGTCCTTCTTCCTGGCAACATCCATCTTTGATACATCCTGATTTTATATATTGCAAATAAACTTAACTTTGACCTGTTGTCATCAGAAAAAGTATACTGCTCCAAGAATATAGCATGCTCATTTTATTACCATATCAATCTCAACCACATCATCCTCTTGCACAGTAACCTTAGAAGGTTGAAGAATTTTGATTAGCAATATGTATAAACAAGAGGCAATTACCCCAAAGAACATTGTGATTACTGTTATAGACTACAAGAAGAAAAAGTATGCATATGCCCACGGGTTTTTACCTTTTTTTTTAGTGGAGTGATCCCTGCACTTTCTTTTTGGAACTGTATATCATCAATATGAACTTTAAGTACTCATACATTACTAAAATATGACAAAATTAGCATAAAAGTGTATAAAGTGACTAACCTTCCCTCTCATTGTGATTCATTGTGCCACTTCTCAAAGAGGAATCATTCCTTTTCATTTCCTAGTTTAAAATTATGCATATAATATTGAATTAAATATCACAGAATGTCTAAAAAATACACTACAACTACAATTTTCCATGTGTGCTAATACCTTGTAAGGATTAGACACAAAATCTTGATTATAAGAGAAGTAGTCTTCATCCACATCTTCCAGATGTGCAATTTTTTCCTTACCAAGTGTTGATGCATCATTTCTTTGTTTTAACATATTGAAAGGTATCAATACATTATCAACTCCCTTTCCCTTCATTATGCGTAGATTACTTTCAATCCTGGACAACCTTTGTTTCTCATACTCTGTAAGGAGAGCATTTGATTTAGGACCTTGTGTCTCTTTCATCTGTAAATCACATAATTTAAGATGAAACAGTTAGCAAAAATTATATATTGTTTGGAACATAGTAATATTGGGAGCATGTGTCATAATGGCAACAAGGGCATGCAAGTCTCCCTTGTGTACTCCAACCAGATAGCATAGCATAAGCGGGAAAATCGTTGACTGTCCATAATAAAGCAGCACGCATATTGAAGTATCGTTTACTAAATGCGTCATATGTTTCAACTCCATATTGCCACAATTCCTTCAACTCGTCGATTAACGGTTGTAGATAAACATCAATATCCATTCCTGGATAATTAGGCCCTGGTATGAGTAATGATAGAATGAGGTATTCTGGTTTAAGACACATCCAAGGTGGCAAATTGTAGTTAATAAGTACCACTGGCCATGTACTGTGAGAAACACTCATTGTACCAAATGGACTGAATCCGTCACTTGCCAAACCCAGTCTTACATTACGTGGATCTTTAGCAAAGTCTGCAAACATAGAATCAAAATCTTTCCAACATTGACCATCAGCCGGATGTCTCAGATTTCCATCATTCTTACGCTTTCTTTCATGCCAAGTCATTTCTTCTGCTGTTTCAGAACACATAAGGATCCTTTGAAGCCTAGGTTGTAAAGGGAAATGTCTCAATACTTTTGCAGGAATTTTACTCCTATTTCCCTCATTTATCTCCTTCTGGTCATACTCTTTCCATCTAGAAGTACCACAAACATGACATGATTCAGCATTCTCATATTCTTTCCTATAAAGTATGCAGTCCTTTGGGCAAGCATGTATCTTTTTGTAACCCAAACCCAAACTATTGATAGTTTTTTTGGCTTCATAATAAGATTTTGGAAGGTTTGCCTCCGGCATTACCTCTTGTAGAAGTTCTAATAAATCTGAAAATGCTACATTACTCACTCGATTTATACATTTGAAAAGATACAAACGAATAGTGAAAGAGAGCTTTGAAAAATTCTTGCAACCTGGGTACAATTCCTTCTTACCCTCTTCCATCAACTTAAAAAAATTATTAGCTCCCGCATTTTGCTCTTCTCCTTCTCCGAGATTTCCAAAAGTGTCATTCAATAACATATCTATATCATCAATGTCATTTAAGCCCTCATCATTGCTATCACAGTCCATACTCTGTTCTATTTCCATTGAAGGCAAACCTTCTCCATGGAAATTCCATAAAGTGTAGCCTTCAACAAAACCATGGCAGATCAAATGACTATGAACATTTTCCCAATTATGCAAGTCGCGAAAAACACATTTCTTACATGGACAGTTTATACAACCATCAACCGCCGCTCTTGTAAATGCTAAATTAAGAAATTCATTCACTCCATCCTTATACTTAGGATGGATTCTAGGCAATTTCATCCAAGTTCTATCTGCACCGTTCTAACTGAAAATAATAGGAGACATAAAACAAACCATTGATTATAGCTTTTCATAACTGATTAATACTCAGTTTCCCAATTACATATAATAACTGCATATGCTTAGTTGTTTTAGTTTTGTTACCAATATAGATATCCACTTCTTAATGTTTGAAAATAAGTCTTACGAGTAATACTTAATACAAATTTCTACACCTCCCCTGAATACTTGTTGCAAAGCTTTGCTAATCAAAATAGTATTATATGAAAATTCTGAAAATGAAACTTTAATGTTTATTAAATACTTGTAATTGAGTACCACAAAAAAACACAGCGGGTATGGATCTGCAATGAAAATAAGATCGAGTGGCTGGATAAACAACAATATTATCTTAGCACTCCCAAAAAAATTCATAAAACCATGTGCTCAATAATTTCATTCAACATTCAACATATCAATTTCATTTGATGCAAATATAGTTCAATACAGATATAATTTAATCTCTGCCTATAGAAACGAATCGAACTTGGCGGCAATCGGTGATGGAAGCTCCGGCTACCAACTCAGCTTTGGGGTCCTGGCGGCTACACCTTATGCGAAAGGAAACTCGGAGGCTAGATCAGGATTAATGAGGACCAGGAAAGCATATTTGAAAGTATGTTAGAAGCCTACCAGCATGGATTTCAGAATTAGGTTACTGCTCCCATTTTCTCTTGTGATGCAAAATGAAGGTTTGAGGGAGTAGCAGATCAAAATCGTCCGCGTTAGAAAATTGGGCTTGGCGCGTAATATTTTTAGATCAACCGGGCTTTTTGTTTTTTTTTAGATTAGCCATTAAAGTAGTCCGTATTAAATACTACGTATGTAGTATATTTTTACATGTACTCTGTAGCATTTTTCTAAAACGTCACAATACCATATCTTTTGTAACACTTTATTCCATAAATGCAAATATGCTACACCTGCTTGAACATATTGTAGCATTATTTTAATTATTTTATAAAATGTTACAATAAAATTTCTATTGTAGCAATTTCTAAGATGCTACATAATAGGTGTTGCAATAGATACTTTTTGTAGTAGTGAACTCACTTTTGTCGCTTTTGTAGTGATTTAGTCTTTTATTGTGTAGAAATCCATTTTTAGGTTTACTACTGCTTTTAAAATTGATAGAATTTTTGTGTTGTTTTCTCCTGAAAATTTATTATTTTTTTGTGCTTATACAAAAGAACAAGGGGTTTGAACTTGAGTTTGGTTCTCATTAATACTCCCCGTGTGTTCGTGCTAGTTGCTTCATATAGTTGTAGCCTTATAAATATTCAAATTGGTTTTCAGCGAATTTACTTTTTTATTTGTTGCTTGTTTTCTTAGTGAAAATGCTTGCATATAATAAGTATGGTATAGCTCCAATTAATGGAAAATCCGATTTTACCATTTGGAAGCAAAAAATTAAATGTATTTTAATCCAACAAAAATGTTTTAAAGCAAATGGTGAAACCTATTTAATTTCTGACACAGATGATAAAAGAGCTGAAATGAATGAAAATGCATGTTCTCTGATTTATTCGAACTTATATGATTCTGTGATTAGAAAAGTTGGAAATTTAGAGAGTGCTAAAATTTTGTGGAATAAATTAGATGAACTGTATACTGAAACCTCTTTGCCTAGCTGGATGTTTTTACTTAAAAAGTTCTTCAAATTTAGACTGGATATTTCTAAGGATATTGAGGAAAATCTAGATGTTTTTACCAAACTTATTTATGATATTAAGTTGTGTGGTGATAAGCATATAGATGATTATTCCCCTATTGCTCTTTTAAATGCTATTCCCGATTCCTTTAGTGATGTGAAATATGCTATTAAGTATGATAGAGATAATGTGACTCTTGACATTGTGGTTAATGGTCTTAAGAGTAACGAATTAGATTTAAAACAGATGAGTGATGGTATAAAATCCGAGTAGGTTATGCATGTGAGGGGTAGAGAAAATAATAGGCGACATAGATCTAAGTCTAGGTCTAATCCGAGGCGTTGCTATTATTGTCATGAACCTGGTCAATTCATAAGAGACTGTCCTAAATATAGGGAAAATAAGCATAGTGAGCATGCGAATTTGACTACTTGTGAAGATGATTTAGGTGATGTTTCTATGATGAGAAATCTATGTGATTATGACTATTTGTGTTCTGTGATATCTGATTGTTTGGGTAAATCAGATTGGGTGGTAGATTCTGGTTGTACTTTTCATATGTCCCCTCTGAAAAACGTTTTCTGAAACTATAGAGAGATTCAGCATGGCTTTGTGTCTTTGGCAAACGAGAAGAAATGCGATGTGCTAGATAGGAGATGTATGTCTTAGGTTTTCTTCTGTTTGTGTGCTTACTTTGAAGAATGCTAAGCATGTTCCTGAGCTGTGCTGTAATTTGCTATTTTGTGCTTCTCTTGAAAATGATGGTTTGAAGGGAAAATGGGGAAATGGAATCATGAAAGTTGTGAAGGGTTGTTTAGTTGTTTTCAAACCTCAGATGAAAACAACTTGTATGTTTGTAATGCTGAACCTATTCTTCATTCTGTGAATTGTGTGCAACCCTATGTGCTAGGAAAACACTCTAGAGTTAGTTTTCCTGATCTGCCTAAGTGTACGATGTGCTTGATTGTATTCATGCTGATTTGTGGGGTCCTTATAGTGTTTCCACTCATGGTTGGAAAAATTATTTTATGACATTGATTGATGATTTTTCAAAGAAAGTGTGGGTTTTATTGATTGAGAATAAATCTGATGTTTTTGATAAAATTAAAAACTGGAAAACCATTGTTGAAAATCAAACCAGTAAGAAAATAATGTGTTTAAGGACAAAGGTCAATTTTAATTTTTGTGATGATCAGCTTGGTGATTTATGTGATACTTGGGGTGTTGGGAATATTTTATGGTGTTCAATCTAGTTAGTTATCTTTGTATTTGTGTAGTTATCAATTAAACGTGTAATACGGGCCACAAATGTGTATCAGCCCAGGGGCTTCCTTGTAACCCGTAAGTTAGCCAACTTCTCCTATAAAAGGAGGCTAACTTACGGGAACCCTAATGATCGATAGAGGCTTAGAGTTCAGAGGCGTGAAACAGGTTGAATGTATCTGCGATTTTCTTGGATCTAACGAAGAATGCTCTGCTTTTCTTCTCTTTTTCTTCATATAGAGTTTTGCTCCTGTAATCTTGTTTGTGAACGAAAATCTGTAAAAATTATACTGTTGGAATCGCCCTTCAAAGCCGATCCAGCAGCATAAACTCTTTTTGATTTCTGAGAATTTTCTTTTTTGAAGAACTCTCAATGAATTCCGAGTTTATGCTTTTAACACTGTTGCAGAAACGATTTTGACTTGAAACATATACAGGAGGGATTGCGACCTTCAGGGCTATTCAGAACAGTTTTCAGATTCTCAAAATTCGACAGTTTTTAAAATCGAGAGTTTTAAACTCGCGGTCATGAACTCAGGTTTGTAAACTCGCGGTCATGAACTCGAGTTTGTAAACTCGCGGTCATGAACTCGAGTTTGTAAACTCGCGGTCATGAACTCGAGTTTGTAAACTCGCGGTCATGAACTCGAGTTTGTAAACTCGCGGTCATGAACTCGAGTTTGTAAACTCGCGGTCATGAACTCGAGTTTGTAAACTCGCGGTCATGAACTCGAGTTTGTAAACTCGCGGTCATGAACTCGAGTTTGTAAACTCGCGGTCATGAACTCGAGTTTGTAAACTCGCGGTCATGAACTCGAGTTTGTAAACTCGCGGTCATGAACTCGAGTTTGTAAACTCGCGGTCATGAACTCGAGTTTGTAAACTCGCGGTCATGAACTCGAGTTTGTAAACTCGCGGTCATGAACTCGAGTTTTTAAACCTCGAGTTCTGACCTCGAGTTTTTAAACCTCGAGTTCTGACCTCGAGTTTTTAAACCTCAAGTTTTTAAAATTTGAGAGTTTTGGAATTGCGAGTTTTGGAATTTATTTCGAGTTTTAGGAACTCGATGTTTTGGATTTCGACATTCTAAAAATTTCAGAATTTTCAGAATTTCTCGATGTTTTGAATCTTTCAAAGTTTGAAGTTTCTTGGAACTCATAATTCGAATCTTGACATCCTTTACAGTTCATCGAAGCTTTACATTTTAGATATCTGAATGATTCCCTGTTTATCAAAGTTTTAGAAGTTTTCGATGTTCTGATATTTTTCAAACAGCAAGTTTTCGATATTATGAGGTTTTTCGAAACTCCAAAGTTTTCGAGGTTCCAAACATTTTGAAATTCTGAAGATTTCGTTATTCTGAGGTCTGTTTTGCGGGTGGATTTCGTCATTACTCTTCAAGGCAAACTCGAAATTAAAATCTCCAGATTTGGATTTCGAGTTTTTGCCTTAGAATTTTGTTTAAATTCACCTGCTCTCGAAATTCAACATCGAGAACCTCAACCTCGAAGATTTTCCTCAAAAACTCAAAATTAGAGATTTTCTGCGACACCGTACTGTTTTGGCCATAACTTTTGACTCGGTGATCCGATTTGAGCAAACTTTTTTTGTTGGAAAGCTAACGCAAAAATCTACATTAATTCTCGGGCCATGCCACAGAACCCAATCTCACGCTCCCTCACTCGCAGCCCTTGAGGGTCAAAACGTTAGTTTTCCGACAAACATTGTAAATCACCGATGTCCAGGTCAAAACTTAGGCAAATCTGTTCAAATTCTTTCAAAGTCAACCCTGAGGTCAAACATTTTCTAAACCTAACTGTAAAGGTCCGAAAATCGTAGATAATTCAATCAACCTCGCGTCAACGGTCATCTTACAACAATCAACAATCAACTGCTGAAGCCTCCCCTGACTCATCAACATTATGTAATCTTCAATATGCTGAAATTCTACATGGTGAGCTCAGGGAACCGTCATGTGTGGTACTTGTTCAGATTTCTCCACACACATGGCGGGTATGACAAGCTGTGAGCAATCAAACCTTGCACATTCTGATGGGGAGTTTCAGTTTTCTCCTCCTGGCGTCTTGCATTGACAAAGCAAGGAATCTCTTAACGGATGCAACATTCTAGGGGGAGTGATCAATGTTATCCTTCCCGGTGCCTAACAATGACAAAGCATACCGAGTGCTCCAGTTGAGGGGGAGTACAGAGAGAAAATGAAGAAAGTAATGAGAGAACATGTCCCTATGGCTTAGTAAACCCAACTAAGCCTACCCAAGGGACAAAGCCGAGCGCAAGTGAGTGAGTGAACAAGTGAGTGAGTGAAAATTATTAGCATTAGGAAGCAGAAGGCTCAAGTGAGAAGTAAAACAATAATCAATGATGAGTCTGCTACCTCAACTGCCTTCTATGTATTGAACATTTACTCCTAGCCACTCAAATACTCTGGACAATTCCCAAATAGGTTCAGGACTGATTTAATCAGATCCCGGGTAGAAGTCACTGCATCTTGTCCAACAGTGCATGTTGAACCCTATCCAAGACCACTCACTTGTCTCCCAACAGACAGGTGTTTAATCATATTTCACGGGGAACCGCATCTCTCATTACTATCTCCTTCCGAGGCAAGTAATACTGACTACAGTGGCCTCAGCCCCATGCCACTGAACTTTCATTGATCACGTTGTGTCTAGTTACTCACTCCCAAATGTTTTGAAATTTTCTAGGACACAGACGCACTTTTAGAGTCAGTTGCAGGTCTACATGACCCGCGAGAACTTCCATAGGGCTCATCTATTACAGATGTAGACCAATAA